TATATATACTCAATACATACATATACATATACATCATCCAATATGTGTTATACATACAATCCAACATGGACGTTCCAATTTTTTTGGAGGCTCTGTTGCATCCAAAACTTTTGATGGCATTACATAAGAGATATCGACATATATACATGTTAAGCACAAAAGGATGTTGATCCTAAACAATCTCAACCTAACCTAAACCTAAACCTAAATCATTAATAATTTATATAAAACCTAAAAAATTAACAATTTTAACCTAAAAAATTTGGGCTATAGTTTTACATAGATTGATAAAAACGCCCTAAACATATGTAAAATTAGGCCCCAAAATATTGGAGGCCCTATTCAAAATATCACATTTAATATGCTAAGAGACGACTCTGCAATCCAATATGATAAAATATAATAATATACATACATATACATTACACGTATGTAATATTTTATCGACAAAGAGTTTACTTTATATTATTTAAATTACGGACGGACTTTAAAAAAATTGAAATTCGTGATTATCCATAATATGATATTATCGTCTACACATGGATTTGAGAAGTTACCCAAAAAAACATCTCACCAATAATTATCAATAGATTATTTAGTTTTTTATTTTTATTTTTATCGTAAGTCGTTTTTTCATTTATTGATTTGAAATAATTATTCATAATTTCAATTTATATGAACCTTTGCGTTGAAATAATCCATTAAAAGGGGGTACACAACATAAGAAAAAACTGAGAATAAGGTATAAACAACTGGTTTTATTACGTAACAACTTATAATGTCCATATCGATATAGAAAAATACATGTTTGAGCTTGAGAAGCTTCTGGTCCACTGGGTATCTCCTATTCGTTTTGGATCCAACTGAAAAAACGGAAGGCGTAAAGATGTATGTAGCTGATGCATCCTAATTTATTTGAACGACATCGAACAATCCATTGATCAAACCAGAATAAAGAGAGAGTCTTGTTCTACCTATGAATTCCTTTGGACCCCATAAATGATATATTAGAAGAATCTGTTGTGTAGTTTTAATGAATCAGGAGAAATTTAATGATAGAACATACCATGGTGCTTATTTTTTATTAACTAATGAAATACCTATGAACTGATAAGACCCCTCTTACTGACTGGAAACAAATAATTAGTAGATCTATTCCGCCAAAACAGTCAGACGCTTATTTTATTCTTTTCCCTAGCGTAGTTGGGCGTGGCTGCGACGAAATGGAATTCTTTTTGGTACATCTAGGAGAACTATAATTAGGGGATGACAGATGTTTTAAATAAAAGTAGCTTTATCTTAGAACGAAAGTGATTTGCGGTTATCAAAGACTTCTATTACAAATCAACAAGTATTTTGTGATTCAAAAATGCAAAATCTCGTCTCAATCATCATGATCCAACAGACGAGGAAGAAAATATTGCACTGTTGCTGAGTCGTCGGACTCTTTTCGAACAACATATACAAAAAAACTACCAACAGTCAGTCGATGGAAGAGCCATATCTGTAAACTTCTACCGAGACTTTTATAGAAGAAATAAAGAAGATTAGAGGTACAACCAAATACCAGCCCCCTCTTTATCTTTTGTTCTGTTTCGAAAAATAAATTGTTCTATTTTCAAACTTTACCTTCAACAAGTGTATAATTGTTCTGATGGCACCTTGCTTCTACCGTAGATTGGCGTAGATCAGAGATTTTGGATTTTTATGTTGTCAAAGAGTTGAACAATGGGTTTTTTTTTTGTTGGTGAAGATACATTTACATACAATCATAAACGGATTAAACTGCATTTCACCATTTTATTCTTTCCAACTTTTCAAATTAAATGACACCTAATGCCGATTTGGTTTGGAGGATTCTGACATAATTTGAAGAAAATTGCATTACAACAAAATCGGTTTTTTAGGACACTCTTAAATTCTAAGTGTCCTAATAGACCTCTTTATAGGACTTAGTGTTTAGGATCAAAAAAATAAAGTATCCTATTTAAAGGTGTTGTAATAAGTTTATATGACGTTTTTTGATGTCGTAATAAGTTTTTTAGGACAATTTTAATATAGAGCATCCCATTATCAACTTTATAGGACATTATTTGAAAAAATGTCCTATAAAAACAAATGTCCTATAAAAAATTGAGTTTATAGGACACTTTCTCAAAAGTGTCCTATAAAATTGATAATGAGACGTTTTATATTAAAAATGTCCTAAAAAACTTATTACGACATCAAAAAATGTCATATAAACTTATTACAACACTTTTAAATAGGACACTTTATTTTTTTGGTCATATAAACTAAGTCCTATAAAGAGGTCTATTAGGACACTTAGAATTTGTGAGTGTCATATAAAACCGATTTTGTTGTAGTGTTGGAGTGGTCAAAGTTTGTTGACCAAATTTTATTTTGGCGTTTGGTTTACATGTCGAATGAAATTGAATTCATTGAATTTCACAATTATGGATTTGATCATTCCAAAAATGAAAAGTAATTAAATTACATTTCTTTCCATTTTCATAAAAAGACAAAACTACCCCCATAAAACCCTTGACTCTCAATCACGCTTACAATATACGCCTCCTTCATATTTGTTCGTCCACAATTGCTGGTTCGATTTTTGTTGGTTCAATTTTTGCCTGTTCGATTTTCCCTTTTGATTGTTCGATTCTATATAAACAATTATGTGTACAATTTTTTGTTCTTTGTTCGATTTCTTGCTTCTTAATTTGTATGATAAATGGCTACCTTTTTGTTTGATTCTACCAAAGGGATACATGCTGATTTTTGCTTCTCTGTATAAATGATTAACTACTTTATTTTTCTCGCTATTCGATTTTGATTAGATTCTATAAATGATTACGCAGTCGATTTTTTCTTCTTTGTCCGATAAATGACTACCTTTCAATTTGTTTGATTCTACCAAATGGATGCACGTTGGAGTGATTTTGCTTTTTGTTGGTTATACTAGTTCTAGTTTCTGATAATCGTACAACTGTTACAACATATTGTTTTTTGAAACAGAAAATGGCACGACTTATGTAAACCAAATTCAAAGAAAGGGTATTTTAGTCATTCTTATTGCTTCGTTATAATTCCAAAGCTACATTCTGTAACCAAACAGATAGATTACATTTTTTTCTACCAGCCAAACACTTTGTTAATCTGATAATATTTTACATTTTGTTATAAAAATCCTTCCAGATTCCAACTATTTTGACAAATTTCATTCCTTGAAAAAACATTATATGAACCAAATGCCGTTGGTTTAAAAATAAAACAATTAAACATTATATGCAACAAAGAACACACTTGTAAACATGTAACAATCAAGCCATAGATCCAAAGAGTACATGGCAAAAATGAATTAACGTAGATTCTTTAAACATGTATGCTTTTATGTAAGACAACCTATATGTGTAGTCATGTCGGACGATCCAATCAAACAACGCTTTTCAACACAGTAATGTCGAGCTGTAAGCCTTCGAGGACTACCACTTGGAAAGCTGATGTTTTCTTGGTCGGAATTCGAACTATACATAGAACATCGATAGAAGCGTGCAACTAATTACACAACCCAAGATTCTAAACCGAAAGAATTTCTCCAAAAACAGAAAAATGGAAGATGTGCGAAAGGACGATGATCGGGGGAGATGAGTGACCCATTAATATAGCACAACCATCTTCGAAAGAACAAATTATAGCCTAGTGGGGTGTCGATTCTTTTTCAATCCAAGACGATTGACAACAGTGTGATTAAAAGAATTGGTTACCGAATGAGGATGGTTTTTTTGTCGTTACAACTTCAATTCACCAACTTGGAATCTTTCTACACTTTATTCTCCCATATCCTTTCATCACCCAATAAAGTGTGGTTTGGGACTTGATTTGCTAAACTCGAATGGCTCCATATTTATGGAAATCACTTCTTTCACACTTTTAATAATAATAATATATATATATATATATATATTCAAATGGTCAAAGGAAAGTCAAAGACATAATGAGGATTGTTGACTGATGGGGTGCTGGGTGAGCAGGAAGATGTCAGATGCGACAAACGCACACGTGACGTGGACAATGTGTGGCTCCGAGAGGTTGTAGGAGAACAAATACTACGTACGGACAATATATAAGTAGCCTTATATAACTAACCTTCATTTCCTTCACCAATCTAACGTACGCTTTCTTCCACCTTACTCGTGTTTGTCTCTCTCCCTCTCTCTCTAAAACTCCCCTTTTTCTCTCTCTAGAAAACAATTTCTTTAAATTAATTAATATTTTAATTTTTATTTTATTTTTTGAATCTCGAAATATTTCTCATGGAGTTTTGGATGGTTTCAGACGTTTTCTTGGAGCCTACACGACACGGTTTTCAGAAGCTGAAGGTTCCGATTCCAAATCTACGACTCCTTTTATTAACATCTCTTTCTTTTTGATTCATAAACACAAAGAATGTTGCACGACGTCGTACATCCGCCAGACCAACCTCCTATGGTAATTATTCATTTTCATCTCGTTAATTAGCTTCGATACATACCGATATACATACATATATACATACGTATACGTAACGTTTTTGTGGGATTGGATCACTAGTTTGGTGTCGTTTTGCGTGCTTTGTCGGTTTGCGGTACGTCGACGTCCTACGAGAAAAACATCTTCGTCCGCATGCCTAAATTCAATCATTTTACCAAACAAATTAAAAATATGTCGTTTTCTATGTAGTAATCACCGATATCAATTCTTTTGGTACCATATCTCTGTCACCATCGATGGCGATGTTAGGTTTTAAGTTATGGTATTAAAGTCGATCCATGACACTTACTCCCACATGAATAAATATCCAAATGATCGTCGATCGAAGAATATTTATCGGACGGAAATTAATAAAATACGTTCAGATCGCTTACGGTCGTATGTTGTTTTGACAATAGGAACAGGTATCGAGCCCGTTAAGTGCCCAAATCTTGGAGTTTTGCGAATCGGAGTTATTCCAAGAAGCCATGCACAACTCTGAGGCCGCGTCGGCATCGAATTGTTGCTACGAAGAACAATCCTCATATGCCAAGAACCTCTCTTTCCCTCCCGATATAATCACGTACCCACCACCCACCACCACCGCAACCACCTCCACCGACAACGGCAGCAATGGCAACTTCTCCACCATCTTTGAAGAAAAAATTACAGAAAATGACGTTTCTGCCCCTCTAGATTTCACAACCCTCCCTCAATATCCTTTTAGTCATCAAGATCAGTTTGATCTCTCGTTACTCCAAAGCCAATTTCCGCTTGCAACCGATGGTCCGCCAATTTCGACATACCCACATCCAAATGATCAACCCGAAGTTGTGTCCGTAATCGGACCGATAGTTTGTGAAGACGACTGCTTATCTTCCATGCCACCTTCAAAGTGCATGCGGTTGAACAACCCTAATTCATCCCCAAACCACTGTTTCATGGATCATCCCTACCTCCCAGCCGGAAACTCGAACCCTCTTCTACCAGTCGAAAGTTGCGGAATTTTTAACGGGAATTTGTTGATGGGGAACGAAATTCAAGCTCATGAACTGGACTTTCAAGTCGATAATGGCGGCATCTTCTGCCCAGATCCCCTCCCACGCCCTTACAATTCCAATGAACTTCAGGTATTCATTAAGCTCCTATTCCAGAATGCACGATGAATTGTGTATTCACAACTTCCCTAATATTCTTCATCTGCATTGAAATTATAAGGCACTCTGTAATGAAAATCACCATCTGGTTAACAATGGAGGTGGGGGATGCACAACTCCATTGGCACCTCCAGAAATCACAAGTTTGGAATCAGAAAGCTTCAGGACGGCCAGCAAACTTAGCAGTGAAGAGAGAAAAGAGAAGATCCATAGATATATGAAGAAAAGAAACGAGAGAAACTTCAGCAAGAAGATCAAGGTATATAATCCATATATACGTATACAGACGGTACCTTCCATTTCCTCCATTTTCGCACTCTTTTATAAGTTCTCTTATTACAGTATGCATGCCGGAAAACCCTAGCAGACAGCAGGCCTCGAGTGAGAGGAAGGTTCGCCAAGAACGATGAATTTGGAGAGCATCATAGAAACAGTACATGCAATAGCACCCATGAAGAAGATACTGATGAAGATGTGAAATCTCTTCATGTAAGAAAGGCATAAGCTGTAGTAATTGATTAAGATGCATGAATATAATTAAGAACTACTTCTACAGCTTTTTTTGATGATATGTATGCAGGTGGTGGTGAAGGAAGAAGATCAGAAACTGGATTCATCGGACATATTTCCACACTTAGGCGGGTTGAATTCATTCAGATGCAACTACCCAATCCAGTCTTGGATTTGATTCGTACATTTTTGCAGGAACCTACGTACCTGTGGTGGAATATATATATATATAGGATCTATCTGTACATATATCTCTCTCTTTCTCTATATATATATAGCTAGATATATATATATATATGTATGACACATATATATATAATAATGGGGTCAAATTTCTTAACAACTCTTATGTGTATGACATTTTTGTATATACTGCCTCCTTGTCAATAATAATCGTTTTCAAAGCATTTATTTATATACATATGCACCCAACAACGGTTCAAGATTTCATATATATATATATATATATATATATATATATATGGATATGATGAAATGTTATCCAAAGTTTTTGTGTTAAAAGTTTTTGTGTTAACTTCTTAAAATAAATTAAATTAATCTTGACCATTGATCAAGAAAATGGATGGATGAGATTGGTTTATATGGTTTGCATAAATGAGGGTGGTTTTCATTTGATCACTCATATATATATATATATATATAGAGAGAGAGAGAGAGAGAGGGGTTGATTATTATACAACTTATGACATTTGTGCAACCAATACAACTTAATCTTAACCGTCCATTTCATTTGATTAATATATGATTTCATAGAAGTTTTGATTGTCTTCTAATATAAAGTATTGATCATAATTAATGAACGATATCCATCTTCCATAAATATTCAAATCATAATAAATGAACTTTCATCATTTCCATAAATATCTCAATTTATTGGGTTGCATTGGTTGTACAAATACGACGGGTTATATTTGAAACAAACTCGATATATATATATATATATATATATATTATAAAACATTTGACAAAAATTCTTAAAAACCACTTTTTATGTGTAAAGTACTATTTATTAATTAATGCATATTACTTAAAACTCAATATTATAAGTAGATTGTGTGTAAGTATAACTTATTAATTAAAGCTCTATATCTGAATTCGTGTAACTAACTGCAAATAAACATAATCAAATATAGGATAAACATATCATTTTATATATAAAAAATCTAAAATATAATTATAATAATCATTAAGTTCTAACAAAATACTTAATTATTATCTTTATAAAATATTATATTATTAAACCAAAAATAAATTATTTTATTATTAAACTTAAATTAAATTATAATTAAAAAATAAGTTAAAAATAGAACTTTTAAATAGTTGATTTGATATTAACATTGATATATTTTTTTCAAAAAATTTATGATATCTTCAAATTTATATTTTATTTAAGTATAAAATTATTATTGTTTTCTTAAAAACACATAAAATTATATTATAACATCAACTGAATAAAATAAAACATTTAAATCGAGATGTGTCTTGTTGCATTGCACGGATACTCTTCTATTATATATATATATAAAGAGAGAGAAAAAAAAGAGTTCGTTTCAAATGCAACCCATCACATTTGTACAACCAATGCAACCCAATAAATTGAGATGTTTATGGAAATGATGAGAGTTTATTTATTATGATTTGAATATTTATGGAAGCTGAATAGAGTTTATTAATTATGATCAATACCTTATATTAGAAAACAATCAATACTTCTATAAAATCACATATTCATCAAATTAAATGGACAGTTGAGATTGAGTTATATAAATATAAAGGGTTGTAAAATAAATAATCTCTCTCTCTATATATATATAATTGTAATAATAATTCACTTTCCTAAAAATATGGTTTTAGTTGTCATTAATAGTTACATGCCATATTAACTATTATATTTAATTAATAAATCAAATTAATTATAAGTTAGATGAGTGGACTAGGAATATATCTCATGAATCTTACAATTAATGGAGTTTTCAAATGATTAAGTATTTATCTATACTATTTTATTAAACAAATTTAGCAAAAGTCTTAAAGTATTAAAATATTAAATGACCAACATACCCTTATACTACCCTTACCTTACGTCACTTTTTCACTTTTTCACGCCCTCCTCTCCTTAAATACACTCACCCCTCCCATACACTCACCCTCTCACAAACCGATTTTTTAAAAATTATAATTTTAAATTTACATTTTATACCCCTATAATTAGTTAATTATTTTACTTTACGTCATTTACTTTTAAATGTTTCATTTTAAACATTTATCAAATTAACATACATAATCGTATATTAATTCAAACATGTTTAAAAAATACATTTTTATCTTAACAAGTTACACCATTATAATCGTCTTGTTAATACATTTGAAATGAGTCCAATATTGAATAATTTTATGCTTAATTATATATTATATATTATATATACTGTGAAAAAAAATATTTTTTATATTTACGATTTATACTTTTATAGTTAGTTATTTATATATATACTATATATTTTGGGGTTAGGCTATCCAAACTGCACTGTATAATATGTTCTGAATTAATATGTTCTTGTGTTTTTTTGAAATATATATATACATGTATTAATTCAACCTTAATCTGAGTTTCTGGACAAGAAAGAGGGTAAACAGTTGAAATTTCATTCTAAAACCCATCTTTTTTTATCTTTTCATGGCTTATGATCTGTCAAATTTGTAGTTTTCTTTATTGGTTTTGAGTGTTTATCTTAAAACTCAAGTTTCTTGGTTCTTTGCTCTTGTTGTAAATCGAACACATTTGTGGAGTCGTTTAAATATGTTGGATTTTAAATATATTGGATTTTAAACTGTCATACCATTTTTTTCATCGATATTCTGTAATTGGAACTATAACTCTTATTTATTCAAATTGTATTAATATGTAAAGACCAAGTGTAACATTTATCATCGTTAAATTTTATCTTATAAAACCAGTGGAACTTCAAAATCGTTAAAAGTCATGGCTCCCGCCGCATTGCGCGGATACACAACTAGTATATATATATATATATATATATAAAGATATGTTTTCTACTATTATTCAATTAGTGGATGATATTAAACAATTTAAATTGGATTATATATTAAAAACTAATAAATAAGACATTAAAAATGTAAGAAAATCACATATTGTATTACAAAAACATCACATTAGGCCATGTTGTGCCACCAGCTTAACGTAGCATGAGATACAAGTCTTGAGCAACAACACATTATGATGGTTGTTGTGACAAGTCTTTTAGAACACTAGTTCTTTCCACTAACAATTTCATGTCTCCATTGTCATCTCTTCGTCTTTTTTTAATTATTTTTTTAAATTAAATTGGATTAAATAGAAAACCCACAAGGATAAATCGATTATTTGACATATTTTTTTGAAAAGGCCAACTTTGATAAATAAATAAAAAGAAGAAGAAGACGACCAAATTGTTCACTTCAAAAGGTTACATCCTAAGTACTTCATCTGAACGTTTTGCGATTGGGTTAAATCTAATTCACTGGAATATGATGGAATTGGAATGATTGATTTTATTGACCAAATTTGATTCATGTATTTGGTTCATTCTATGAGTTTTAGTACGAAATTCCAATTTCACACGTGATGGAATTTAATTCTCATTGAGTTTTGATAAGAAATTCGAATTTCATCTCACAAGGCAAGCACAAAATAGAACTTCTTTCTTAGTAAAAAAATGAAGATGCTACTTGCAGATAACAACCAGATACATATTCATCACTGTAAGAAACATGAAGAAGTTGTTAGGTTTTAATTTTAATTTGAAGTTTTTGTTAAGAGCAATTAGAGCAAAAAGCTGGAGCACGATAGTTGTTTAGCCAAAATCGACCCTTCAGGAACATGTGTTTAAAGGAAGGCTAAAGATTAAAACCTAACCTAAACTTGTTGATTATTTTGTGGTACTATGATGATGTGATCAGTACAGACTCGCAATTTTTCTCATTTCCCTCATCGAATGCTATAAAGTCGACATCAATTTCAAATGTTTGAAGATGATGATAGAACTCCTTAAATGATTAATCAAGTACCATAATAACAACTGAAAACAAAAGGACCAAGGTCCGGGGATCTTGTTTATGTTGCAGTTGAAGAAGTAGACTGGTAGAGGAGGGCTTCTGTGTGTAGGTTAAAGAAAAAGTAATTCTGGTTTCACGACGTTGTAATTTAAAATTTAATAATAACTGTTTAAAAATAAAAATAAAAAAGTTTGAGGCATAAAACATATTAATTAAATAAATAATAAAAAGGTGTAAAGTGTATATGATTAAATAAAAAAATTCAATATTAAATTCATTTTTGAAAAAGATTGTAATTGTATAAATTGTAAAATTAAAACTTATTCTTTAATGTATTTTTGTTTATTAGAAAGGTACTCGCACAATGTAACAAGATACATCTCGATTTTAATGTTTTGCTTTATTTATTTTTGTCTCAGACGATGTTATAATACGGTTTTATGTGGTTTTTAGAAAAAAACGATAATAATTTTATTTTTGAATAAAATATAAATATGAAGATATTGTGATAACCGGGTTCGGGTTATCACAATGGTATTTATTATGTGAATTAATTGTTTATATGGATACATGCTTACATGGGTTAAATACGTGAGTATGTGTATTTTTATACATACGGATACATATATATATACACATATATATACATACATACATACATACATATATATATATATATATATGTGTGTGTGTGTGTGCGCGCGCATAATATAAATGTGCATGTGAAGTGTATGTATGTATGGAATGATATGCATATTTGGGCAGTGATTTATGTATGCATGCATGTGGGGGTAGTAGCCGACTTTCTATAATTAGAAAGTATAAATAGAAGGACTAAGTTTTCAGTCAAAGTTTCTGGCATAATTTTGGAAGTTGAGAGCTTTAGAGATGTGTTGACCGGAGAAGCAATTAGTCTTTCATTCTTCTTCAAAATCAGAAGTTTTTGCATAAGGTGAGTGATTTCTAAACCTTTTTGCATAAAATTTGTTATTAGTTTTACTTGAATGTTGTTTATTATTGGAAAGAAATCATTATTTTAATTAAGGATCTTAATTCAGACAAGGGGTGACCGGATTAAGTTTAAATCGGACAAAGCTTATCAAT